TTTTTGAACTTATTCAAAATAAGGGAGGCCCTACCCATTAATTATAAAAGTTATTTTATTTTATTTAAGTTTTAAAAAATAAATTTTTCTAATTTTGTAAAAGTGCGTCTATAGTTATGCAACACCAGCAATTTTGAAAGTGCATAATTCGGCGAAACCATAAAGAATAAATTAATTATTTTTGTTGAATAATATGTGTTTTTGATCGTTTTATTGTGAACAATAACTTAATGGGTCCATTTTATTTGTCAACTAACATACCAATTGAATTAAGGGTGCGTCTATAGTTATGATACGCAGTGTATAAAGCGCCAATGAATGATTTGTCGTTAATATTTTTTGTATACATTTGATTGAAAGCATAAAAAACCCGTCACAATACGAGTATTCTATCGCCCACATTCACTTCTTTCTCGCCGGTCATTGAAAGTTACAAAACGTCACATCTTACTATGACTTTCTATAGAATTTATTTACAGTTTTGTTCTCAGTGAAAGGCAAGCGAGAAAAACAACAGTGACGCCGATCAACAGTTTGTTTTTATTAAAGGCAGATTTGAATCGAAGATGATGACAAGAAAGAAACCGTCAAAGTTGTAATAAATGGATATGATGTGGCATAAAGAAGTGGCAAACAACACTTTTGACTCAGTGCACAGGCTACAACTACCGGACGCATCGATGAAATGATGTTTACTACTACACCAAATGCTAAATGTGGCAAGAGAGGAAAATCTAAAAAATGTTTTGCATCTGTCTCTCCTAAAGATCATTAAATGCCTGTGAAAATTCTATGCAAAACATAATAGGAAATAAACACAAACATATGTATGTTTTGGGAGATATGAAGATTATTGAGACAACATGTGTAAATATAAATACAGTAGTGGCTTGAGAAACGGGGATGCTAGCATAAGATTTCCAATATAGCCCGTCATGTTTGACATAGTCTTAATATGAAGGTCCCCATCATTTTGGGTTTTAGTCGCGTTGTTCCATCCAAGTAGTTCTTAAATGTCCATACTCAGACCCGTCACAATGTTAAGTATAAAGGTCGCAAGCTATTTATACCCTTCACCACACTGGGTATTATGTCTTTGGGCATATGTATGTAACAGGTAAAAGGAACCGACCCATCGTTCAGTATGAGAAAATTCATAGAATCACAGTTTCAGTCCATGTCCATGTAAAATTGTAAACAAAATACAGGTTTATTATGTGTATGAGATGAAATTTGGCACCTTTTTTGGCCCAAGGACGAACACTATTGAAATTGGGGAAAACCCGTTTCAAATTTAAATGCAGCTCCCACTTGTAGTTTCATCCTATTTTAAGTAAATGGTACACCAAAGTATAACCAATTCACACAAAATTTTGCACAACATACTTAAGTTAGTTTAACTTAATGTGTGGCAAGTTTCGCTGAAATCGGTCATGATTTGGATATAAACGAATGCATCCTAACAAAAGGGCCATTAACATGAAATTGGATGAACTAAAATATGTGACCTTTATCTAAATGTGAACCGACATAGACCAATCCATAAACATGTCATTCGTTTGTTACATTACATTGAAGCAAATATCAAAATGCTCAATTTTGTACGTTGTGAAAAATGTCATGTCAATATTAAAAACATGATATCATCATCATTTTAGACTCAATCCAGTACGCTATGCCGAGCAAATCGGACGATATATAGGGAGTTTGGCATATCATTTACCTAACGTCGAGTGAAGCTATATATGTGAGCTATATCTAAATCTGAACCGATTTTCACGTAACTTAGCACACGTCATTCTAGACTTAATTCAGTACGCTATGCCAAAATTCGTGCAAATCGAATGATTTTCAGGGTCTTTGGTGCACCATTTACCTAAAATCGGGCGAAACTATACATGGGAGCTATATCTAAATCTGAAACGATTTTCAAGAAAATTTCAATTTTCAACTCAATCCAGTACGCTATGCCGGAAGATATATAGGGACTTTGCATACCATTTACCTAAAATCTGGCGAAACTATATATGGGAGCTATATCTAAATCTGAACCGATTCCAACAAAATTTCGCATACATCAGTTGGGATCTAATTCAGTACTCTGTGCAAAATTCTGCTTCCATAGGGCCAAAATTGGGAGTTTGGTGCACTATTTACATTAAATCGAACGAAACTATATATGAGAGCTGTATCTAAATCTGAACCGATTTTCTCCAATTTCAATAGGGTTCGTCCTTGAGCCAAATAAGTGAAATGTGCCAAATTTCATACAAATCGGATCATAAATGCGATCTGTACTTTGTTCACAAAAATACATAGACGGACGGACAGACAGACATGCATAAATCGAATCAGAAAGTGATTCTATGCATATTCTCAAAAGGAACCATGTGTCTATCTCGTTTCCTTTTGCCTGTTACAAACATATGCACAAAGACATAATACCCTGTACCACAGTGTGGTGAAGGGTATAAAAAGCGGGACATTTTAATGAAGACTAATTCGAACCATGAACCCATATCAAAAATATTTCTGAAAATTCGATATGCGTAATTACAGTGGCTTCGTTTGGATGATGAAGTTGGAACCTTCAAAATACGGCAAATTGGGACGTACCCTTTAATGGGGGCTATTCCAAAACAAGGTCCCATATATGTTTGGATTCGTTGTCAACCAAGATGGAAATAAATAGAAATTTATCACAGGCAATCCACAACCTGTAATTTAACTTACTGATCTAAATTTCCAGAAAGCCAGGAGAAGAACCTACGTACTCACCATTATGCGGCGCGTTTCGCCGTTGGTTAAGCGCCTCATCAGACATATTGGGCTATGTGGCTTTACAAAGGTCGTATGTTGATAACTTGTATATATTCCGCCCTGATGCGAAACTTGCATATGCGAATTAAATTCAAATTTGTCAAAGTTCGACATTTGTCTTCATTCTAGAAACAGTTCTTTTCAAATCAGATTTTTGTTGTAGCGATTGATAATTAATCCACACACCTGCACAATTGCATACATAGCTATTGTCTGATTTAGGATAAATGTAATCGCTCAAGATCTTCCTTATTTAATAACTTGGTTTGTAGTCAAAAATAGGGAATTTCCCCAAAAATCAAATTTAATAGGTCCGCTATTCGGTTAAGTTTTGTGCGATATTAATCCTAGTCCCAGTGGTCGGAAATTATGTCTGCGTTGAAAAGAATGACTTTTCTTTAATTACGAAAAACAACTACAAGAAAACAACCACTGAGCGGAGCGGTATAGTTGGACGGGGCCGACCATAGGATACCCTACACAACTTCATGAAAATCTAACTTTCTGTGATTCTATAATCTGAGCTTTGGCAATATTTCGTGATAGTTGCATCCTCTTGACCGACTATAAGTCAACAAATATTGATAATATTCAGTACAGTCCTTCTAATTACTTGTCCAGATTCCCTTCACCGTGAGTTGTGTTGTGATGTTCAGCTCTCAATTGTGGCCCATTGATCAACTAAAAAAACGAAAAAAAAGTTTTCGGCCCACTTCATCCCAAAATTATTATCTGATCATCACCGAAAATTATAGGCGTTGCCCTTGACCATAACTGGAACCTCATGGAACATTTCAAAGCGATCAGCGCTATATTTCCGCCCTCCAGTGTGATAATGGGTTACTAAATAATATATGAATACGTAAGCACCTGTAAATATTAAAGTGTAACTCCCACATCCGAGTACATGCGACAATATAATTGTTATCAACTTAAAGGTCACCTACTCCTCTTGGATATACTTTCAACTTCTCGGGTCTATGTCCTTCAGGATTTGTATTTTTCACACAAAAGTCAGGGTAAATATTGGCGATCTTTATCAAAACAGGCATGCTTATTCCTTGGCCCGATCCCCTTAACCACATACAAAATTTGCTGCCTTTGGAGCGACCAGAAAATCAGCCAAATTAAAGTTTTTGGTCCATTTAGTCCACAAAATATTAACCGATCTTTACCAAAAACAATAGGGATCTTCATTAGGCAGAACCCATCCTACATGCTAAATTTCGTGAAGATTGGTTCATAACTGTGGCCTGCATCGTACTTACAATTTATAATAGACAGACGGACGGACTCACATGTCTAGATCGACTCAGCTAGTCGAGATATGACGATCGGTATACTTAAAAGTTTTGTATCGATATTGGGTCTAGGACCAATATTTCGCGGCGTTACAATCTTTGCAGGCTAACAAACAAAGTTGTGTAGGGTATAAAAAACAAAATTGTGTCAATACATTTTCTTATGCCTTAAGTATCCATATATGCAAAGTTTCAAAACTTCAATATAAGCCAGTCGTTTGAGAATTGCCCAAAATTTCAAATCGAGAATGAGGATTCTCTTAATTTATTTTATAAATTGTATTTTATTGATCATAATATCAAACACATTTAACGCAACTAGTGTTTATCATTTTAGCCGCGACTGTACCATCCAGCCCACGTTAGATTTTTTTTACTTCAACCGGCAGATGCAAATCCGCTGGGACAATTCAGTTGCACTATTAGTTGTAATTCCCTTTGAGTGACCGTACGCATTTGACTAAGCGCATACCTGCAAATCAAAACAACAACAACAAAAATAACAACACAAAGGAACGGATAGAAAATTTTCCATGAAAAATTCCCAATATTGGCAAACAAATGAAGGAAAAATTACCTGTCCTTAAAGAAAGACTTAAAAACATAATCTGACCTGTGCAAATATCTGACCAAGGTCACCTTCGAAAAATGAGTGCTGTCTATGTTAATTAGTTAAGTGCTAAGTGAATTTTTCTAAGAAAAAAGGCGAGACAAGAAAATGTGCGAAGAAAAACTGTCTCATGTGGACATTTGTCCTGTAGGCAATCCTTGAAATCCTGGGTATAAATACGCGAGGATATGTTGCAAAAAGACATCAGTATTACGAAGTTGGTACAACAGTGAAGATCAGTGAATTTTAGAAAATTACAAAAATTTAAAATGAGACCATTCAGATTATTTTATGTAACTGCCATTGTTGCTTTGGGATCTCAGGTTATGGCTGTGCCCATAGAATCGACGACAGGTGAAGTTTCTGCTGCAAGCAATGAAACAGTGACATCAGATGGTGTTAAGCAACCAGTGACACCGGGACCAAATGCGACGGATTTGGAAACCTCGAATTCAAATCCCGAACCCACTTATGTGGTAAGTTTAAATTTGCTCTTGCAAATAATCGATTACCTTATAATGAAAATTTACAATTACTTTCAGTTACCCGAACACCATTCCTCCGCTGGCTCAGCACCATTTGATCCTTCAATATATGCGGGGTATTTGACACCTGAGGCATTCCAACAATATTTGGCACAATTTGCTGGGGCATTTGCCCCCTATGCCTATCCTGGTTATGGTGCCGCCCCAGCTCCCGTATATCCCGGGCCATTTGCTGTACAAACTGGTTACGATGGTTTCTTGGTGCCATCTGTCTCCGCCAATTTGGCAGCTACTGGAACTGCCGCTTCGACATCGGTAATTAGCAATATCTCAACGGCGCTACAAAATCTATTCACCACTCTGATGAGTTCAACCATTTTCCAAATGGTCCTTACCGCTTTGGGTGCCTTGGCCATGATTCTGTTCGGAGGTGCCATCACCACCGCCATCTGTAATTTGACACCGATCTGCAACATTTCCTTTAAAGCTGTCTCATATCTTCGTGGTGAGGGTGCTGCCGATGTCGGTCGTATGTTGGCCGAAGAAATGACACCAGAACGTGTGCGACGTGCATCGGAATTTGTACGAAATGCCATTCGCAAATACAAGGAAATGCAAAATCTGATGCATGCCGAAGAGAATCATTATGTGAAGAACAATGACCAGGAATGAAATTTAGACTAAATATAGTTTAGCTGTAATTTTCCACCTGCCCACCACCCACCACTATTTGACAATAATGAGTAGTTTAGTTAAGCGCTAAAATAAGACTCTTAGCTAATAAGATGTAAAATAAGTTTAGTATAATCTTTCGATTTAGTAATAAAAATAATGTAAAAATGTACAAAGTTGGATTTTTAAAATTTTTTCAAGGGCTATAATCAGGGTTGGGTTTTTTTCAATACATTTTTCAAAGTTTAAAATTAGGCATGGATTTTTGAAAGATATTTTTTCAAGGACTACACATAGACGTGGATTTTTATACCCTTCACCACACTGTGGTACAGAGTATTATGTCTTTGTACATATGTTTGTAACAGGCATAAGGAATCGAGATAGACCCATGGTTCCTTTTGAGAATATGCATAGCATCACTTTCTTAGTCTATTTACGCATGTCCGTCCGTCCATGTATTTTTGTGAACAAAGTACAAGTCGCATTTATGATCCGATTTGGATGAAATTTGGCACAGTCCACTTATTTAGGTTCAGATTTAGATATAGCTCCCATATATAGTTTCGTCCGATTTTATGTAAATGATGCACCAAAGTCCCCGATTTTAGGTAAATGATGGGCTAAAGTCCCTAAATATCTTCCGATATGCACGAAATTTAACATAGCGTACTGAATTGTGTCTATAATGATATGTGCTAAGTTTAATGAAAATCGGTTCAGATTTAGATGTAGGTCCCATATATATTTACGTCGGATTTAATAGAAATGGTGTACCAAAGTTCCTATATATCCTTTGTTCAATTTCATGTCAATGTTCTGTCGAAAAGGCGACGTCTGTTAGGAGACTATGTACAATATACCCAAAGTGTTGAAGGGTACCATATAGTCAGCCCAGCCCGACTCTACTATTTTCCTTACTGGTTTAAAAATATTTTTTCAAGGTTCTACACATGTGTGGATTTTTATAAATATAATTAGCTCTTAGGCGTTCTTACTTACTTACTTAGCTGGCTTGTGACAAAACTTTCGTTCCATAAGCTGAGCTTAAAAAAGACTTCCAGGCTTGCGCAATTTTTCAAATTTGTAAGACTATATTCGGCAATTTTGTCTTCCACTTGGTCTTTCCATCTTATTCGTGGCCTTCCCCTTCTGCGTGATCCATCAACTGGTTCGCTTTTATATGCCTTCTGAGCGAGAATAGCTGGTACAACTCATGGTTCATCCGCAGATAGGTCCATAGTCCATAGATCGGTCCATAGATCTTTCGGACAATTTTTCTCTCAAACACTCAAAACTGCTGATCTTGTGCCTGGTTTAGTTATCCTGAATAGCCGAATTAATTTTGCAGGAATGCCAAACGCAGACATGGCTTTATAAACCTCAGAGCGGATAGGGCTGTCGAATGCGGCTTTATAGTCGACGAATAGGTGGAATGTGTCGATGTGTTTTTCGTGGTTTTTTTCAGGATTTGGCGCAGAGTGAAAATCTGGTCAATGGTGGATTTGCCAGGTCCAATAATGTCATTGACCATTGGCTTCAGTGGTTCACACAGTAAGCTGGATAGCACTTTATATGCTATATGGGAAGGAGACATATTCCTCTATATTTGGCACATATCGTCTTGTCTCCTTCTTTGTGCACCGGTCACAGGATGCTGAGGTTCCAATCATTGGGCATGCATTCTTCTAGCCAAATTGTACAAATCAGCTGGTGCATGTTCCTTACCAGCATCTGACCACCAGTCTTGAATAGTTCGGCACCTGCCGCTTTATTGTTCTTCTGCCGATTAATTGCTATTCTGACTTCATCTTGGCTATGTGGTATACACTCTATACCGTCATCTATTATTGGTTCCAAGGTATCCTCTTCACCGCTATTAATTGATACCAGAAGTTTTTCAAAATGCTTCTTCCAGATCCTCAGCACGCTGTCTGTATCGCCAGGTTTCCTTCTTCATCTCTACAGGAGGATGTGCCTGCACTAAAGCCTTCGGTTTGGTGTTTTACCCGTTGGTAGAATTTTCGAACTTCATTCTGACTCCTTTACATCTCGATTTGCTCATGATCACGTTTTTCTTGTTCTTTCTTCTTTTTTTCTGAAAATACTTTTCTCCTCTCTCCTTTCCTCCCTATAGTTCTCCACCACATTAGGTGTTGCTACTGTCCGCAGGGTTGCCCTATACGCTGAGTTTTTCATATCAGTAGCATTACGACACTCCTGATCGTACCACGGATTTCTTGATGGTGGTCTTTGGTACCCAAGTGTTGCTTTTGCTACAGTTTGTAGGGTGTGGCAATTCTCTGCTACTGTGCTTTTATATGATTATCGGGACAAGGGGTGCTTTCGTCAAGCAGTTGGGTAAGTTGAGCGGAGTAGGCTTCTGCTATCTGTTGTGTTTGCAGCTTTTCGACCTTTGCTGCTACATTAAGACGGGTGCGTACCTTGACTGCCACAAGGTAATGGTCCGAATCGATATTCGCTCCTCGGATCGACCGAACGTCTAATACACTGGATGAATGCCTTCCGTCTATCACAACATGATCGATTTGATTTCTCGTTGTTCGGTCGGGAGAAATCCAAGTGGCCTTGTGTTTATCGAGATGTTTGAATTTGGTGCTGCTAACTACTATGTTTTTTGCTGCCGCGAAGTCAATCAACCTCATGCCGTTGTCTGATGTTTCTTCAAGGAGGCTGAATTTTCCGACGTTGGGGCCAAAGATATTTTCCCTTCAGATTTTTGCATTAAAATCTCCTAGCAGAATTTTAATGTCATGGCTAGGGATACGTAGTCGAGCGCAAAAGTCGATTTTTAGACTTTTTGATTTTTGTCTCCGACCAAAAAGTCGACTTTTCGATCTTTAGATTCTGTCAAACCTGTTCGAAATCGATTTTCGACTTTTACGGACTAAAGCAATATCGACATAAAATGTGATTTTTTTAAAGTATTGTTATCAACCGATCAAATAAAGTTTTGGAATGTGTAATTTTTGTGCAATTTCGGCTTTGTGATAATAAAGCATGTATTTATAAAGAAAATCGAAAATCGATCTTGAAAAGTCGACTATGCGATTTTCTCAAAGATCAAAAGTTGATTTCGACTTTAAGACTTTTCATTACAAAAAGTCGATTAATCGATTAGTCGAAAGTCGATTTACTTATCCCTAGCCATGTCCAGGGCAATGGTCATATGCTGTTTCTAGGCGCTCGTAAAATATGTCTTTGGTCTGTTCATCTTTATCTTCGGTCAGAACATGGGCGCAAATGAGACTGATGTAGAAGAACTTCGCTTTTATACGGATTATAGCAATTCGCTGGAGTGTGTTGGAGACTGGAGTGAATTTGGAGACGAGGTTTTTTATTCTCCTGTTAACCATAAATCCGCAGCCAAATTCATGTCTCGTTTCATGACGGCTATAATGCAGGGCGTAATCATCTGATTTACTTACACCAGTCCCATTCCATCGCATTTCCAGTAAGGCAATAATATCGGCTTTGTACTTCTTGAGTACATCCGCCAAAGCGAACACTGCGCCTGTTTTGTACAACGTGTGCACATTCCAAGTGCAGATTCGCATATCGTGGTCCTTTATACGTTCGCGGGGGTCGTCAACATTGGGGGTGTTTGGTTTTATTTTTCTTTGCTTTTTCATAGTAGGTTGGGTTTTCCGAGTGTGGGTAACTAAGCCGACGCCTCAACCCAATTTTGTATAGTTCTTATGGGTGAACTCGCGGCACATATTAGCTCACTATTTCATCGGGTGATGAAGATAGCTACCCCAGGTGGCACCACGGGGAGGTCCGTGTCCACAATTGAGATGAAAGAGGGACCAAGATAGGCCTGGACTTGTTCAAGTCAATCAGAGCCGGTGCTTGGTATCTATCATCCCAAATGGCAAACGCTATTAGGCGTTCAGGGCCCAGCCCATACTTATAACCAATCCTAGCCATAATACTTCATTTCAATTTTCCCCTTATCCTTTTATGACCACTATAAAAAACACACACTCGGATTTCATTTACATCGTAAACCAACAGGTAGCAATGATTTGTCCTCCACGACCTTTAAATCACATTTAAATGTCTCCCTCAAAATGTTATTCCTTGCCATAAACAGATACTATAAAAACAGCTAATTTTCTAAATTACAAAAAAAATATATAGCAACTATTATATGTAATAAAAAAACACAAAATAATTTATTGTAGTAGATTTTTCATTCAAATAATTGCATACATATACTAATAATAAAATACACAATTTCCAGTGAAAACAAAAAAATCACTGATTCACTTCCACATTATTTTCCATTTAAATTAATCGACTGACTCAAACCCTTTGCCACAGAAACACTAGCACTCTCACACAATTTTAAGTGGGTTAATAAAACGTAAATTTAGTGAGCTGTGTGGTCAGCGAGCTGTAATCGGTATATTGACCCATTACAAAATGTTCAGCTGCACAGCGCAGCTCAGCTTAACAAAGCAGAGCAGAGTAGAAAAAAAAAACAAACTCGAACAGAAATAGAAATTGTTACAAATTGTGGTTGTGGCTACTGCAAATCGTTTACATTGAAAACACATTCACACACACACATAGCCATGGACACTTTGTTCCATTTGGTCGTTTCCGCCACCTACCCCCAGTGTAAGTGGGACAAAATTTCCCAGGAATAAGTTTTTCTGTCTTGACCAACTGGTCATCAATTGAAGGGGCTATGGGTTGTTGTAATAAAAATCAGTGTAGAAAAAATACGTGGTGTCCCGCCAAATGCCCGACCATAATGACAACAGCTGACTAAGCTGAGTAACTTTAAAGAGTTGTTGAATTTTTCAGTTATGGAAAATTTCCTTTGTGAACCGCACCAAATATCACGTCAACAACGGAAATCTGCTACCAGAATGTTTGTCTTTCATTGGACTATTGCAAGTTCGTTTTGTGCTTCTCTGTGTCACTGTAACACACAAAAAAAGAAGGCGGTCTATATGGGTTATTCCATA